ACTAGGCTCCCCCCTTCACCAAGTCCCGCCCACAAACCCCATTACAGTCACTGTCCATCAGCATAGTAAGATGTTGTAGAATCACTGCTTGTCTTCTCTGTGTTACACAGCCCTCCCCATGCCCCCCACACATTATACATGCTAATCATGATACCCCCTTTCTTCTTCCCTGCCCTTATCCCTCCCTTCCCTCCCATCCTCCCCAGTCCCTTTCCCTTTGGTAACTGTTAGTCCATTCTTGGGTTCTGTGATTTTGCTGCTGTTTTGTTCCTTCAGTTTTTCTTTGTTCTTATACTCCACAGATGAGTGAAATCATTTGGTATTTGTCTTTCTCCGCCTGGCTTATTTCACTGAACATAATACCCTTTAGCTCCATCCGTGTTGTTGCAAATAGTAGGATTTGTTTTCTTCTTATGCTGAATAATATTCCATTGTGTATATGTACCACATCTTCTTTATCCATTCATCTACTGATGGACACTTAGGTTGCTTCCATTTCTTGGCTATTGTAAATAGTGCTGCGATAAACATAGGGGTGCATCTGTCTTTTTCAAACTGGGCTGCTGCATTCTTAGGGTAAATTCCTAAAGTGGAATTCCTGGGTCAAATGGTATTTTTATTTTCCTGTAGGGTTTTGAGGATGCATGAGCTAATACCATTCAAGAGCTTACCATGTTGGGCTATTGTGGGTACCCAATCAATGATTATTTATCACAAGAAATTAAAATCAATATAAAGTATAACCCATCAGCAGTAGATGTAAGGAACCACCAAACAGCACAGAAACTGCAGACCAGCAGAGTTAATGGGGTTGCTGCCTTTGACCTGCAAAGGTGACTCTGAGCTCCCTTGTGGCCATATCAAAAAGGGAAATATGATCAGTTGTAGAACTTAGGTTATCAAGAATGAGGAAGCAGCCTAATTCCTCAGGGCAAGCAATCTTGCTCCTTACCCTGAATTCTCCAGGGCATCTCTCACTGATCAGGGGTTTCATAAAGGGCACCACAAGAGAGCCTGTGGGCAGCATCATTGACCAGGACTTATAGCACTGCAGGTAGTCACTTTTAGGGGCCTTGAAGGAAAGGCAGAGGGAAACGTGAGAAGGTGGCTCAGGGAAGGCAGTTCCGAGGGAGGATCAAGAATGTGAGGAAGGTCTGAGCTCTCAAGATTCTAAACTTTTAAGTCTCAGAGTGGTGGGCTAGGAACTGCTAATCCCTCAGGGAAGCAGGGGGAGTGCCAGACACCTTTCAGCTGGGATCAGACTTCCCAGCTGTGTGGCCTTAGGCAAGTGGCTTCCCATCTCTGAACCTCAGTTTTCTCACCTGCAAAGCTGACTTATGCTTTCAGAGCTGTTGGAAGCATGGCATGGAGTCTTGCAATATTTGGCATCTACTGAGGGCTGAAATAAATGTTCGTCACGTGTATACACATATTATGGATCTATAGTTATACACAATTTTTCATAAGCTTCCTGGTGGTGGACAGTTTAAGGAATATGAATACCTAGAATTTCATAGCTCTTTAAAATGTGCAGTTGGCAAAAGATTCGTTGGCATTTCACACGACCTTCCCCACAGCAGGAGAGAGGTGTTCTTATCCCTATTTGAGAGATGAGGAGATGGGAGCTTAGAAAAGCCAAAATCCTTGACTATGTTGCCCTTGACCTGCCCTTGAACCCAGAACTGGGGAGACAAGTGGACAGGATACTTGTCATCTGGCCTTCCTGGGCAAAGGCCATTTCAGGAGGGAGTTAAGAAGTAAAAATAAAAAATAATAACAATATCAGCAGCAGCAACAGTAATAGTAACAGTCTAGTGCTTTCCGGTCAGCAGGCTCTTTCCTAAGCATGTCACCTGTGACCTTTAGTCACAACCATTCCGTGAGTTAGAGAGTATTATTTTACAGGTAAGACAACTGAGGGGCAGAGAGAGAAGATAACTGACTTGCCCAAGGTCATAGGGAGTTCATGCAGACGCAGGATTTGGAAGCTGGAGGTCTGGCCGGGCCCAGAGACTATCTTGACCGCTGTGCCTCGGCTCAGGACAGCAGGAATGTGTGTCAGACAGAGTGGAGGTGGAGGGCCTCTCTCCAGGGCTTGTGGAGAGGGGACACGGACTCACCCAATTCCTGGTGGGGTAAGGGCTGAGGGGTGGACAGACAGACATGCCCAAGGATGTCAGCGCCACGCTTGCCGGCCCAGCCTGGCCCCTGCTCAAGTATGAGAAGACATGGCCTCTGACCCTGAGCTGCTCCCAGCCCAGCTGGAGAGCCAGACGTGATGTTACTTGTGCCCGGCACGTGTGTGTCTGGTGCTGGGCTCCCTGCTCCTCTTCCCCCTCTTCTTGGGGCTCAGACACCCACCACTGCCCAAAAGGGTACTGGGGGCGATGGCGGGAGACAGCCCAGTATGGCTTTCCTCCTCCCTCCTTCCGTGTCCAACTCTTAGCTGTCCTTTAAAACCCAGCTCAGGTCCCGCCAGCCCCGGGAGGCCTCCACAGCCCAGTCTGAGGGGGTCTCTGGGGACACTCTGGCCCTGCCCCAGGCCCAGCACGTCTGTCTTGTGCCTTGGGACCGGCTATGACCCTGTGGGAAGGGACCCTAGGGGAGCTGCGTCCTCATCCCTAGGGCGTGCACAGCCTGGTCCAGGGAATGCAGACACGATCATTTCCTCCTCAAGGACACGCTCAGAACATGGTTTCCAGACAGTGGGAGTGACGGTAAGGGCCCTGGTTCTGCAGACCTGGCTCAAATCCCACTCTCAACCCGCCGCCTGGATGCCTCAGGCCAGGGTCCGCATCTCCCTCAGCCTTGCTGGTGCCCTTCGTGGGGCTGGGGCGAGACCACATGTATTAAGTGCTCAGCCCAGTCCCTGGCGTACATCATTATCATGAACACCAGTCACATTTCCCCAACTGTGGGGTGGGGGCCCTGCAGCGTCTGTCTTCTCTCTGCATTCCACTACAACAGGATGCCCTGGGGGCCCCTCGCTGAGCTCTTCTAGAACATCCCCCCCAGCTTGCAGAGTGGGATGACAGCCATGCTTAAGTTCTGAGTCCCTTGAGCAGAGAGACCACCGTGGAATTTTCCAAGTGGCTTTTATTTAGTAAAAGCAAAATGATGACTTTTCACCAATAAAATACAACCTCAAACCCATTAACGAGCAGTAGTGAATTTATACGGAGGAAGGTTGGAGTTATTTGCGATGAAACATCTATCGGCAGTCTTGCCAGGCTGAAACACCTGGTTTGGAGCTCATCTGTTAGGATGGGGAAAGCTGGGTGGTGGAGAGTGCATGGGCTCCGGGCTGTCAGAGCCCTGGGTTCAAATTCCAGCTGTTTCCCCTGTGCCATGATGTAATCACAAATCTGTATGGCAGGTTTACTAAGTGCCAGCACTGATCCAAATGCTCTGATTCCTGATGCCTGTAATTCTTACGACCATTCTGTGAAGCAGTGAGTATTCCCATTTTACTGATGAGGAAACTGAGGTTCAGACAGGAGTCATGTGTCCAAAGCCACACAGCTGGCTGGTGGTCGAGGTTGGGTTTGAACCATGCACAGGACCACTGCCTCCAAGACCTCCCAAGTTTGCAGACTCCCCAGAATCTTAGTTTGTCCTTCCATCAATTGGGAAAATACCCAACAAGGTTGTGATGGGGATTGTAGGAAGTACCGGTTGTCTGGAACACAGCAGGTGCTCAATGAATGTGTTTGTGACCGTCTCCTAACTGGATTGCTGTGACAGCAGGGTCTATGTCCAATTCAGAGTACCCCCAGGGCCTGGAGAATGCCCAGTGAGAATGACACTTCTCTCTCTGGGCCTCAGTTTTGTACAAGATCCATGACATCTGCCTGGCAGAGCCCCGGGGAGACTAAGTGAGATGAGGGAACTACAGCCGTAGGCACATGGTGGGCGCTCTAGGCGGCTCTTCTTCTGTCTTCCAAGTGCCCAACACTGCCTGGAATGGTATTTTCTGGGTCCCGACTGGCAGAGGATTTGCCTCGAGTTACCCACACTATCAGTCCTGTGTCTTCCTCTGGACCCACCCCTGACTCAGCCTCTCATCTATGGGTGTGCTTAGGTGGGGGGAAGGGAGGCTGGGAGGGAGGGTCCAGCAGTTAATCTGGCTTCAAAGGGCTCCACCACTGCCCGGCTGAGTAAGCTGGAGCATCTCACAGCCTTTCGGAGCCTCAGCTCTCACGCCCCCTCCGTAAACCGGGAGTAGTGACAACAGGTCCTTATCTCCGAGTCCAGACGCAACCACTGCTCCTTGTCCTTCCCTGCAGGTGTTCCCAGCAGGGCACAGGGGCTGACTGGCTGAGGACCCACACTGGAGAGCTTTGGATACCATAACTGAACAGTGAGGGACTCCTGTGAGCTCCAAAGGGCACAAGCAGGGGACCCCTGGCAAGGCGGGGGCACTGGAGAATGCCAGCACCGCTGTCCCTGGGTTTCAGAGACATGGCTGGAATCGAGTTCACAGCACTATGGACCCCTCCTTCATTGCACTTGGTCATTGTGATTTTTCCGTGATTTGGGGAACTTTTTGCCAAATGTTCATCTGCCCAGCTGGCTTGGAAGGGGAAGGGGAGGGTCCCAGAGAGGCAGCAAAGGTTGTCAAGTGGATAGACCCTGAATCTGGAATCTGACTCTCCACGGTGCCTTTTCCCCGTGTTACGGCCTCACCAAGTGACCCAAGCTCTCTGCCTAAGTTTCCTCATCTGTAAAGTGGAGCTTGTAACCTACCTACCTCACTGAGGTGCTTTAAGGATGGAGAGTTTATGTACGTTAAGCCTTTAGAAAAGTGCCTGATAAGTAGGAGGTGCTGGAGATGTTTAAGGGTGTTTGTTACACAAATTAGCAAAGCAGGGACTAGTTAAGCCCCCACGCCAGCCTTGCTGAGAGCCAGGAAGATCATTGTCAGTCTTGCTGGTGTTGGTCAACCTCTTAAAGCCAGTTCCAGTCAAGGTTCACCTAACGACCCCTGTCTCCCTTTGCAGAGAATGGAGGGTGAGGATTACAACACCTCCCTCGCCTACGATGATGAATACCCCAATGATTCCTACCCCATCGTGGTTTTGGAAGAGGTTTCTTCCATGGAGGACAGGGTGGCGAAGATCTTCCTGGTGGTGGTCTACAGCATCATCTGTTTCCTTGGGATCCTGGGCAATGGCTTAGTGATCGTCATCGCCACCTTCAAGATGAAGAAGTCAGTGAACACTGTCTGGTTCCTCAACCTGGCCGTGGCCGACTTCCTGTTCAATGTCTTCCTGCCAATCCACATTGCCTACGCTGCCATGGAGTACCACTGGGTTTTTGGGGCAGCCATGTGCAAGATCAGCAACTTCCTGCTCATTCACAACATGTACACCAGTGTCTTCCTGCTGACCATCATCAGCTTTGACCGCTGCATCTCCGTGCTCCTCCCTGTCTGGTCCCAGAACCATCGCCGCATCCGGCTGGCCTACATGGCTTGTGTGGTTATCTGGGTCTTGGCTTTCTTCCTGAGTTCTCCATCCCTCGTCTTCCGGGACACAGCCAAGCTGCATGGGAAAATATCCTGCTTCAACAACTTCAGCCTGTCAGCAGCCAGCTCTTCCCCATGGCCCACTGAGTCCCAACAGCACATGGCAGTGAACGTCACCCGCTTCCTCTGCGGCTTCTTGGTCCCGGTTCTCATCATCACAGCCTGCTACTTCACCATCGTCTGCAAGCTACAGCGCAACCGGCTGGCCAAGACCAAGAAACCCTTCAAGATCATCGTGGCCATCATCATCACCTTCTTCCTCTGCTGGTGCCCCTACCACACGCTCAACCTCCTGGAGATCTACCACACCATTGTGCCCGGCTCCGTCTTCAGCCTGGGTTTGCCCCTAGCCACGGCCATTGCTATTGCCAACAGCTGCATGAACCCCATTCTGTATGTCTTCATGGGTCAAGACTTCAAGAAGTTCAAGGTAGCCCTCTTCTCCCGCCTGGTCAATGCTCTGAGTGAGGAGACAGGCCACTCCTACTACCCCAGCCACAGGAGCTTTACCAAGATGTCATCGATGAACGAGAGGTCTTCAATGAATGAGAAGGAGACTAGCATGCTTTGAAGCTCATCTGGGAACCCCCCAGTAGACAGGCCCTCCAGCCTTGGAGGCCAAAAGCTATGCTTTCTCAAGACCGCAGCAGAAACCTCTTCAGCGCCCACCAGTGCCCACTGTATTTTGCATGGGGCTGAGCAGTGGTTTGAGCTGGGAGTCCAGGGAATGGAACCCTTTTCTTCAAGTGAGCTGGTGGACAGGCCCTGCCATGCTGCTTACAGCCTGGGACCAGCATCCTGGGCTTCTTGGGAGACCAGCCTTGACTGACACAAAGCAAAAAAAAGGAAGACTCTCAAAACCACTGCCATGAACTAGAATCAGCATCAGATGGCAGGATTATGCTACCTACTGTGCACATTCCAGGAATGCCACAGGCACTCTACAAGGTGCATTCCTGGTGTGAGCAGAGTTGGTCAGAACAGACCCAACGTGATGCAGACCATGCCTCACCCCCTATACCTACATCAGTAGCAAGCCAGACATCCTGCCGCCAAAGCCTTTCCCCTGGTTCAGGGCAAGGGGAAATGCACAGGTTACCGGGAGAGGAAGGTGATGTGAGCCAGTCAGCAGCCAGGATGGTGGATTTGGCTTTCAGAGCAGCTGGGAAGGCCCAGGAGAGGTCCCAAGGAGCCATGTAGGCAAGACCAGCAGGGCTGCCCTGAGGACTTCAGGCCTGGGGAGGAACGGGGAAGCAAGACCTTTCACGGGTGCGGCTCCAAGCAGCTCAGCCTACACCTTCCTGGGTGATGGCTACTCTGGGGGTGGACCAGGCTGCCCTTGCCCCAGGCACTGCTCTCCTCTGCATTTGCTGCTTGGGGCCAGCCAGGTCACGGCCAGCAGCGACTCCTGCAGCCTCCACCCCATCACAGGGGTTCCTCCCTCCTTCCCTAATCCTCTGGCTGGAGGTGCTCAGAATACTACACCCGGGGGGCATCTCCTCCTCCTCACCCTCCTCAAAGCCTTGCTGAAGACTAGTCCAAAATTAGCCTCTGGAGGCAACCCCAGGAGCATCTTGCCGGGTGAAGAGTGTGGCTACGGGCTCAGTCACTGAACTCAAGCAGAATCTGGCGTCTGCCTCCTTGAATTGTGCTCCTGAGATGCTGACTGTGGTGTACCACTGGCTCAGAGCTCCTTCTGTGGGAAGCCATGTTCTTTTCGCATCTAGGAATGTCACTTTCCTGTGCTAGAGGGCCATTGTCCCATTTACAAATGACAAGGCTGAGGCTCAGAGGAGGGAAGTAACTCCCCCAGTGTCACACAGCTATCCAGAGGCATATAAGATCTGTACCCAGCTCTGTCTGGTCCCAGAAACTCTGTTCTTTTGTGGAGAATGTATCTATTGAGGATATTCTGGGCTATACTGATAGCTTACATATATTTAGCACTTCCTATGGTAAGCACTTTATATGTGTTATCTCATATATTCCTCACAGCAGCTCTGAGTTACATACAGTTATCACTTCCCTTTTATAGATGAGGAGTCAGGCTCAGAGAGGCTAAGTAACTTGCCCAAGGGCATCCAGCTGGTCTCTGCCAGAGTCTAGATTTAAAACTAGGTCTATCTGGCTCAAAAAAGGCTGCAGAGTCTTGGAGTTTTGACCATAAATATCAATTCTTCAGTAGGCTAATGTAAACATCTTAATGACTATTAAGTCGTCTTTCCAAATAGTTTTGAAAAATGATCCAACATGGCAGAGAAAGTGCACTGGGCCTCCCGCCCCCGCCAGCCCCATCCCCACGCGCCCACCATAGCTCCCACCTCTTGCACCACTGACATCTCCAGGCAAGGCAGTGGGGAGAGGGGCCCGGCAAGAGGCAGCCTCCCGTGAGCCCCTGGCCCTTTGGCCTCCAAGTGTCCACATTCCGTCTCCTTCCAAGTCCTTTCTTTGTGAAGCCAACACTCCAACAAAATGCAGTGAACAGATGTAATGTCTACACAGCACTGGGCAAGCTCCCCAGTCCACAGGCTGTTTGGAATCCACACCTCATTAAGAGACAAACTGTTCCCTCCCTTGCTGGGCCATTATGCTTTGGACAAGGCAGCTCTGAACCGACCCCAAGTTGGGGCCTCTGATTGCTTCCAGAAATGTAGACTGGGACACTCTGAGAATGAAAAGGGGAGCTTTAAATATTGCCCACTGCCCCCTGTCACTCTCTTCCCCAACTTCAGGGAGGAAGCAACTAAGGCTCAGGATGTGTCCCAGGTCCCAGGGACAGTCATCAGCCACTCGGGCCTCCGGCCACCAGGACAGTGCTGCTTCCTCGGGCTTAGCTACTCGCTTCCCATGGGCTGCATGCTGGCCAAGCCAGGCCCTGGGGCGCCAGGAAATCATGCCGACTTTGGAAAAGTTCTACAACAGGAGCAAAACTGAAGCAAGCTGTTTGCCTACTTAGGACCAGGTGTCCCTTTCTGGCTGCCTCCCTGTCTTCCTGTTCTGAGTGTAGTTTCCCATCAGATACTTAAATACAACCATGACTTCCCCTTCAATCTTGTCCCTGCAGCTTCTCCCAAGGACCTACACGGTCACACACCCGCGAAGTCCCCGTGGCTCACGGAGGCCACTCGCCTGAGCTACTCCATGGCCAGCCAGCGTGTGTGTGCCTGAGAGCCTTCCCTCCGGGGCCAGGACCCAGCGGTGGGGTCTTGATGCTGCCTTCTGGGTGGGGTGGGTGATCCCAGGGCGTGCAGGGAAGCAGGCAGAGGGACACGAAGAGAAGATGCTATTTGAGACGGGATGGGGGAAGCCCAAAGGAAATAGAAATAATGATGAAGGAAAGGACTTCCCTTATTCAGCATCTGCTGTGTGTCAGGCACAAAATCTCATCAAACCCTCAAAACAATTGAAAGAAGAGGACCATCAGACCCACATGGGTAATGCAGAAAGGGAGATTCGGATGGCAGGCCCCACTTGTTCAGGGTCACACAGCTAGTAAATGGTGGATCTGAGCCTTGAACCCAGTGCTTCCCCAGCTCCTGCTACTGGCCTTCCTTTCCCATTCCTCCCTAGCATGCTATGCTCTGGCTGGATCCGGGTACCCTAGGCCTGTGGATTTGAAAAACTGCTGCTGTGGGTGATACCCAGGACTAGGAGAAGCCAGGAAGCCACGTGTCCAACTGCGGAACAATTCAGTAGGGGGCCTGGGGCTTGCTCCCTTCCTCTCTTGGAGGACAGTGTCTCTTGAATCAAGAAACAGAAGCAAGAGTGGGGCTCATTGCTGGATGTTCCTGCCCCAAACTCCCCCTTGCCTTCCCCGCCCACCTCACAGACTAGCAGGTGAGGCTCAGAGAGGTAAAGGGTCCTGTCCAAAGTCACACAGCTATGTTGTGAGACGGCAGGAGAAACCCTGAAACTCCAACCTACCATCCCCCAGCTTTTGGACTTTAAGGAATCTGCATTTTGAAAAACATTTCCTCCACTTATTTCCTTAGCAACCAAGGATAAGCGATGGTGCGTGACCTACCCAAGATAACAGCAGATAGGAGCCTGAGACAGAGGACTCCTCGCTCCCTAGTCTGAGCTCTTCAGCACCACCACCCAAGGACAGAGGCCCCCACCCACCCATCCATTCATTGGCTTAGCCATCTCTATTTCACCCACTCCTCCAGTCCATAAAAATCTATTTAATAGGCACTCTGCCAGGCCCCATGGTAGAAACAGGCATGCAGGGATGACATGGGTATATACAGTCTCCAGTGGGACAGACAGCCACCCACTTTGAAAAACACACCCTGAATGGAAACCCACCCCAGTAAGGGCTCCACACATGCTGCTGAGGGTTCTGACCCTTTCCAAAGGCCAGGGAAACTTCCTCAGCGAAGAGCCACGGGGCTGACACGGGAAGGATGGGTAGGCGCAGACTGGGTGGCAGGTGCAGGAGAGAGGCTCCAGGCAGCTGGGCTCGTGCTGGGGGCTGGGGGTGGGGGCGGTCAGGGTGATGGTGGGAACTGAGTGGGTGGGGGCTGCCGCTGGGCGAGTAGATAGGAGGGAGACAAGGCAGGCTCGCCCCGAGATGAAGGGGAAGCCATGTGCATGGGGGTGATGTGCTCAGGCCTGCACACTGAAACTGCTGATGCCTGGGGCTGCTGGAGGAGGGTGGGACAGGGAGGGGCCGGAGGGGTGCCAGGAGGCCACTGCAGCCTCCAGCTGAGTGCTATGGCGCCCAGACTTCAGGAGCCAAGGGAGAGAAATGGACTATTCCAGGCTATTTAAAAGCTACCCAAGCTCTCTCAGGGGAGTGGTTAGCAGGAAACCAACCCAGGGCCCATTTCAGCTGCACAGAGGCTTCCGTGCGTTGCTTTATTGATGGAAATTAATTGTAAATATTATTCAAATGTACCTCCCAATGCACAATTATATTTCTCAGGGGAGCCTTCTGAGCACATAATAAGGCCCTATAAATAAAACACATATTAACCTAGAGGAACAGAGGCATGTTAATACTGCAGGTGGTGGGGGCGGCTGTGGGGAATTTATGCAGTCAAGACTCCAAGTACTCGGATTTGGGTTTTAACTTCCAAGGTCACTGGAGTTCTGACCTGGGCATCCTCCGGATGTTTCTCCGCCAGTGTCCGCTCTGAGGAGGTGGAAGTGGGGATTCTGAGAAACTGCTTTCCCTTCCTCACAGCCCTGGCAATCTTAGGATTGCTGAGTTTAGAAGAGACTACTTCATCAAGTTCAGCCCTTCTCAGGCTCCCATGTGCAGATGGTGAAACTGAGGCTTCTTTGCAAATAAGATCAGGACCTCCTACCACACTGATTGCTGTGAGATGGGATGTGTGTGAAAATGCCCCCACGAGTCACTCTCTAAAGCATCATCGCTCCAGAGAGCTGGGCGTTCCCCAAGCCACCCTCTTCACTTCTTAGTTTGTTGATAAGGGCTTTGGTGCTTGTCTGCCCTGAAGGACCCCTGCCCAGAATCTGTGAGGTCACTGGGGCATTTCCAACAGAATCCTGGCTGAAGGGGATGCAGGCGGCTTTAGAAAAACCTGGTGCAGGGCTGAGACATGTTGTACTGGGGGCATGAACATTACCCTGTAAAATTGTCCTGGATATGAGTGAGGGCTGCTGTCCTGACCTAGGTGGTAGTTACGAGGCTGTGCTTATAAGCAACAAACCATTTATCGGTGCATATGTGATTACTGCACTTTATTGTAGCTAAGTTATGCCTCAATAAAAGTATTTTTTGAAATAAAATAAGTTTAAAAAAATTCATAGTGTCTGCAAGAAATGACTTCCCAACTCCCAGAGTGCTCTAGACAGAACCAGATCTATCTCTGATTCAAGAGAGCAACCCAAAGGGAGGTGGTCCCTGCAGGGTCCACTAATGAGGCAGCCTTTCAGGAAGGACTGACCCCCCCAGGAGTCACCCCAGCCCTGTCCCCTGACACAAACACCTTTGATACTGATGACCCAGAATTACATGGGCTCAGGAGTCAGGCTGCCTGAGCTCGGATCCCAGCTCCACCCCCTACATCAGCTAGGGTTAGGGCTAGGGTTAAGGCTCTGTGACCTCAGGCAAGTGACTCAATACCTGCAGAGCCTTAGTTTTCTCACCTGCAAAATGGGCATAATAACAACTTGTAGCTCACACGCTTACTGTGAGGATTAAATGATAGGCCACATGTAAACATTTAGCAGATGCTGGGCTCCCACACACCGTTCTCATCCATCTGGACACACATCAGCCTCCTCACTGTCTCCCCACCTCCAGCCCTGCCCCCAGAGCCCACATTCTTCAAGACGCAGCCAAAGCAAGCTCCCATCCTAGAGCGCTATGACTCAAACCCGTGACGTGGCTTACAACGCCCTAGAGGGCTGGCATTGCTTCCTCCTGCATCTCATGCTGCTTCCCAGCTGGCATCCCTCTCTGCCTCTCACCAACAAAATAAAGCAAAGCAAACAGACAAACAACAACAGCACCTCTGAGATACTTGTTCCCTGAGGCCTTTGCATGTGCTATTCCCGCTGTTCCCGGACCACTGCTTTTATGTGACTGGTCCCTCTTCCTCCTCCAGGTCTCAGCTCAGATGTCTCTTCAGAGAGGCCCTTCCTGACCGCCCCGCCCCCCATTGAAGGTAACGCCCAGCTCCGCTCACCATCCACTAGATCCCTTGTCCTATAATCAGTATAGTACTTCCCACCATCTGGAATGATTCTGCTGCCTTATGTCGGGGCCCCTGCTGGGTGGTGAGCCCCACCAGGGCAGGGGCCGGGTCTGTCTTGCCCGCCTCTGTATTCCCAGCCCCCAGAGCCATGCTCAGCACAGAAACAGTGCTCACAGTTTTCTGTTGAACAAAGACAGCTATAAGCTGACATTTTTCACCATCCTCATCATCAAATTTCATGACAATCGCTATTACAATACACCATTTCCAAAGGGTTTTCACATATTTTCCTACCTCGTTGAAACTTGTGGGTCCAGGTAATCCCCCATTTCACAGACATGGAAACTGAGGACCTGGGTCACTTAGGTCGGAAGTGGAGGGGCTGCAGGGTCCTCTCCCTCATGACATGAGGAGCGGTCACAAATGGAGGAGGCTTCCCTTAAGTGCTTCCGTCTCCCTGGCCTTTCCTTCCCCTTTAATTAATTGCAGCCTGAAAATAAAAGAACCAGATGCCTCCCCCCGCCTCCAGCCCCTCATTGTTTCGCAGCTCTTTTCCGGACCAGGACGCCTGTTATGGACTTGGCTGGTACAACCGTGACCACAGATTTCCTGTGTTTATCCTTCCACTTAGAAATCATGGAAGGAGCAATCAACTGGATGCCAGGTCTGTGCTGGGTACTGGGAGACACCACAGCAAAAAGCACGGCAGGCAGGCACGTCATGCCCACAGGGTCCGTGGCGTCCAGGTGCCCAGCTCTGGGAGAAGTGGAAACCAGGGCTGTCTTTTCCTTGATTTCCACCATGCAGATGTTTGGCCCCCATACAGCAGATATCTGCATGATCCACTGAGTTTCTAGCTGGCTCCCAGATGTTGGTGCCCCTGAGCAGGGACACACAGAGGGGGTGAGAAAGGGGGCTCTCAGCCTGGCTGGTGGCTGGTAATTAGCTGGTAAGCTCCTGGTGGATGGCGGGCAGTTTACAAAGCCCAGACCACTGCGTGGCGCTTTACTGGGAAGGACTGACTTAGAATGGGCTTTCAGGCATGGTGACTTGCAACCAGAGGCAATTCTACATCCATCATCCCATTTAATCCTTATTAGAAACCTGAAGAGTAAACTACCTTCCACTTTAGACAGGAAGCTGAAGCCAAAGGGGTCAAGCAAGTTTCCCAGAACCACACTGATATTCATCCCTTGATTTTGTTATTGAGCCTTTACTCTGTGCCAAGCACTGTGCCAGGCACTGGGGGTATGTCAGCAGCCACCATTCTTACTTGCATCAGTCTTAGAACATACCAGTATGTAGAAGAGCTGGGATTTCAACCATGTCTGTAGAGCTTTGTGGCTTCACATACTCTTTCCTAGATGTGCTGCTTTCTGAGATAAATTAGGTACAGAGTGATTAGTACAGAGTGAAGAGAAAGGCTTCCTGTTATAGAGCCTTGAAGCCTCTTGGAAGTTAGAGAGAAAACTCACATCTCGGCTGGGAGGTGCTGAACTGAAATTTTTTCTGGGAGTCAGGATGCAGCTGTCAGCAACTGCTCCCCCGTCCCTGACTCCTCAAAATAGGAGAGCAATCTGGACCAACAGCTCTTTCCCTCCTTTGCAAGAGCAACAGGGAGATGGCACTGCTTCACCCAAAAGACCAGGGAGCTGAACCAAGGCAGGTGGAAGGAACAAGGAATTAGGAACAGAGTGGGGTGCCAGACTCACTAGGGGGACAACTGGGTTTCCAGCTTGTTGGAATGTTGCCCCTTTCTAGTTTGTCTGAAATGTCACCCCTTTCTAGGGTGATTGTAAAGCTCATTCTGATCCCTGACTCTCAACATCTTCAAAGATGCAAAGAGATCTACGGAAGCAGCCTGTTCAGTCTCAGCGCGTTAGATGACGAGGTCCTTCTGTCAGTCTAGGACCCCTCCGCAGGATGCTTGATGGGAAATGAGTCTCACAGTCCGTCAGAGGTGAGCCAGGGCACGAACCCAGATGGCCCCACACTCAGCAACTTGGTCCCTGCTCCTCGATATCAACATCCATTCCCCTCCATGTCTTTCTCTCACATTTTGGTTCAGACCTAACGGTCTGTGTAAATTTAGGAAGCAGAGAAACAGAAAACCACTGTTATCTTCAAAGGCTAGTAATATAAACGATAGGAATACAATAATTCGTACTAGTTGGCATTCATCTTCGGACTCACAGTTTGAAGTAAACCAAGAAAGAAATAAGATTATATATCAATTAGGATGCATTTGGCTGAAACCCTAGTGGAGCGGCTGAAGCAGTGAGGGGAGTGTGTACCTTCACATAATAAGATCCTGCATGCTGGGAATTCAACAGCTGAACGGTGACATCAGGGACCCAGAGTGTTTCCTTCTCTCTGGTCTGTCACCCTGAGAGGCTAGGCTTTGTCCCCGAGATGGCATCTCTCATGGTCATTAAGACGAGTTTCCATCTTATGCCACACTGAGCAGAAGAGGACAGAATGTTTCAGAATGCTGCAAGGGAACCTCTCTCCCAGTCTCTCTCACACCTCTTTGGCCAGAACCAGGCCCCATGGCTACTGCTAAGCCAATCACTGACAGGGAAGGGAGCGGCTTGGACCAATCAGGATCTACCCAGCAGATTCTACATGGGGGAGGCGGAGACATCCAAGCACAACCAGGGTTCTGTGCCTGGAGGAGGGGGTGTGTTTTAGGGACAGGCGTCCAGTGGTGTCTCCTACACAGAAGACAGAGATGCCCTGACAAAAAGTCCACAGATTCACCTTATTACAGGGAACAGCAAATTCTCAGCCCTGAGCAAAAAATGCAGCAGGGGCAGAGAAAAGGAGAGTTCTTAGACATTAAGAAGAACTTATTTCTAAGAAAATCAGAATGCTTTATCCCCTGAGAGTAATGATTTCCTCCTTTTCTTTATATTAAGTAAGGCATGATCTTTGGCAAAAAATTACAATCGATGAACAAGCAAAACTGAAGTAAAAATTAAAGGAAAATCACTTTTAATTCCAGGGATCACCTAGGTGTAAGCGCTGTCATCATTTTAGTCTGTGATCTATGATCTAGTCTATATGTCTAGATCTTTCAATACCTAGCAACAAGATTTGTACATATATTCTGTTCTACTTGGGGGAGGCAGATTTTAAAACATGGATTTTAAATCCATGTTTTAATCAGGTCATCAAATGTTCCCGTATATAGCCTTGATTATCCAAGCGATTTCCTCAAAGACCTAGTTGAAGGGCCATAATTTACTTAGCCAACCCCCCTTGATGGACATTTAGGCTGTTTCCCCTTCAGAAGTAATATTATAATCGCTGTTGTCATTGGGATTCCTGGATGGATTCACCCTGGAGAAGCTTTGGTTGCACTGAGCTTCTTCTTCTGCCCTGGGAAGCCCATGGATCTAACCAACCTCGGTTTCCTGCCCACTAGCCCAGCCTCCGGGTCCCTGGCCCACCTTTCTCCTTCGAGCAGAGGGGAGAGTTGTTTGGAGGCTTTAAGAAGAAGCCTGCCAGCTCAGGAAAGGGGGGCTGGTGGAGGGGACAGTGATCGCAGGCCGACTCTGGAATCAGGCGGTATGATTGGGCAGATGATTCTCCCTGAGCCTCGGTTTCCTTGAGATTGGGAGTGTAATAGAAATGCCTTAGAGGGTTGCATGAGGATTCAATAAAATAATCCATGTAAAGAGCTTATCACACACCTGAAAAATATTGTGTACTTTAAAAGCGGCTAGCTTTCGCTATTGGAATACTTTATTGCATTTTTTTCTTTTACTGAGGCTACGAGACTGCATTTGCTTTGTTCTCTCTGGGGACCATGCCTAATCCAGGCCATTGATTCGGGAGGTTGCACAGATCTGTCTGGATTATATATTGGGGTTGCTCACTGAATACTTGCTGCAGTCTTGGTGTGAGAAGAGAACGTGTTTTCTTTGTGGCTTCTGATCTCCCTTATGACATCCTTCTCAACCCTCCCACGCCTCCTTCTGTACTGGAAACAAAACTAGACAAAAAAACAAAAACAAAAATTTAAGCTTTACCCAGATTATGGGTTGAATTGTATTCCCCCAAAATTCAGATTTTGAAGTCGTAACCTGAGAATGTGACCTGCTTTGG